AATCAATTAAAATATTTAATCGCGATTAATCGCATGATTGTCATGAGTTAACTCGCGATTAATCGCAACTTAATCGCACCTTTTTTTCTGTTCTAAATGTACCTTAGATTAATACTTTTCAAGTTTTTAATACTCTAATCAGCAAGGGCATGGACAAATATGGATTCTTTGTGCAAATGTATGTTTATTATTAGTGAAACCATAGTCAACACAGAGCATGAAGACTAGACATGTTTCATAGGTCATAGATATTTTTCAAATAACATGTCTATTAGAGACATGAAAAAAAGAACATAGAAATACCAGGTTCCCATTACTTCTCTTTCTTTACAGTATTTGCAGGACAGGGCAGCTCACTTCTTCTGAACATGCAAAATGTACATTTATTATTTATTATTACATTTGTTTGCCTCTCTGTGCCCACATACTGTATTTTGATGCAGCTAAATTCTCAATAAAACAGTTTTCATTGATATATTTTACTGTATCTGTTGTCAGACAATGGAATGAATATGAAATAGTGACTGAATCGTGACCCATTTAGACTACATAACCAGCTCTCCCTTCCAAGACGTTAATCTGCACAAAAATCCTGATAATCGAGCCGTCGTCTGATGAAATCAAATAAGCTACACATAAGATAAAGACAATAGCTGTGCTGTGATTTCGACTATACTTGCATGTAAAATTAGAGAAGCAACATAATATATATTTTAAGTGAAAGCGCTGCTCCTCTCTGCCTCTCTGCCGCCATAGCAGACGCAGAGAAAGAGCTGTGTGCGGAGCTGGGAAAGAGAGACTTAAGGTTTGGGCAAACCTTAAAACCTTAAAGCTAAACACTGTTTTGAAAAAAAAAAAAAGGTCACTAAAGGGGTCTGAAAAGTTGCTAAATCTAGCGACAAAGTCGATAAGTTGGCAATACTGTCAGCACCTCCATTTTTCCAAATAACTTACGGGTTAGGCCATGGGTCAAACAGAATATGTGCGCTGCGTTAATCGTGCGTTACTAAAATTAGTGCCGTTAAAATGAATGAATTTGCGTTAAAGGCACAATATGTCATTTTCGCCACTAGAGGGCGCGTATTCAAAATAAACAAAGAGACAAAGGCGTAGTTTGATGACGCCGTGACTGAGTGTGGAATCATGGGAGTTGTGGTCTTCATCCTCACAGCCGATGCAATCCGACGGGACTCTGGCAGAAATCATGTTCATGGATGAGCTAATGATTTATTAACGTAGTAGAATGAAGCAGGGTGAGGCTGAAAGCCGTCGAAGCGAAACGAGGCGCTGAACGAGCGCGACACACGGCTGGAAAGCAGCAGAGCTTTTATTATGCCAGAGTCGAGCGCTTCCGGTCGTGCGTATGTGGGGTAAAGCAGCGGGGCTTTTATTATGCCACAGTTGAGCACTTCCACTGCTTCCGGTCGTGCGTATGTGGGGTAAAGCTGTTTTATCATACTAGATACATTTGAAAGTTCTGTTATAATGCTATTCTGTGCGCTCATCACCAACATATTCAAGCGTCTTTGGTGTTTCTATGTTTTCTATAAAACAAAACCGGAAATCGAGGGGTTATGACGTCATTGGCAGGCGACACAATGACACTATAGACACGGTCCGTGTCACTAGTTAAAATTGCTTATTTCTCTGGATTTAAACATTCTTCAAAACATTTGGGATAATGTAAGTACACAAGTCAGCAAAATATATAACACTGTTCTAGTGGTTTTTGGATATTTTAATAAAAAAATCGTACATATTGTGCCTTTAACGCAAATTATTATTATTATTATTTTTTAATTGAATGGCACTCTGACAAAATTATGCAAACAGTCTTCATTCAAACATTTAAAGCACATTTCTATAGGTATTTTTCAGCTGCAATCTGTTGAGGTGCATCTCAAAGATAATTAACCAATTGTCAATGTTCAGAGACTTTATAATCAAAACACAGTTTCTTTGGGTGATCTAAATCTATTGAGGGATAAAAAGGTGCTCAAGAAGCATGAGATTGCTTTGGTTACCTCCACAGACGATCTGTTGATGTGCAGGTTTTCTTCCATTTTGGTGGCTTTATGTAAGGATTATTGCACATGTGTGACCAGATGCTGTTCTGGAAGGAATAAATAAAAATATCACTAATGGGGTTTTTGGTTCTGGTGGTCTAAAGTCTTGATTTTTTATTTTTAGTAGATAGTAGTAAGTTTATTGTCTTTCATTTCTATCATGCATGTTGCTTTAATCCATATTGGTCAAACTGCTGAACTTTAATGTATTGTGTTGCCGTTGCTAACCAGGTTGAAGTAATTTGCTAAAATTATTTTCTTGTCAAAGATGATTACACATATTTGGCACTTATAAAAACATGCTGTACTCTGTCCCCCAGGACATGGCTATCTTAAAGATTTCAAAGGAGCTGGAGGACAACAAGCGCGGTAATGTGGGCGCTGTAGGAGGAGCTAAGATATGGGGTGGAGTAAAGGATGGTGGATGTGGAGCAGAAGGCTCACACTGGACCTCGTTCTATGACCAGCATGACAGTGCATATCTTCACCAGAATGACGGGTGGTATGTGTCTGGACAAAGAAAAGGAGAACACAGCAGATTTGAAGACAACATGTTTGACGGGCTTGCACTGTCTGATGCTTTCTTAGGCAACTACTATTCTCAAGTAAGTATCAGTTTTACACAGCATAATCTTCATAGCTAAAAGTAAACTAACAATCAATCATGTAATCAAAATAAATGAATCGACTATGTATTAACATTAATATTGCAAAATGCATATAGAAGACTCCAAATACCAGGTGCACATAACAAGCTTTTGCATAGCATGCCATAAAAGAGCACCAGAACAGAAAGCGTTAACCCTCATAATGCAGAGTTCATTTTGACCCGGAAGAGATACATAAAAACTTCTAAATCATACATAGTTTTTAGTAAGCGAACAACATTTTTTACAATTATTCTTTAAAAGATATAACCATTCACACACACAAAAAAGCTACACGTTTCACATTCCGGTCATTTTGGACCCAGGTAAGTATGGAGCACCATCGGTGTCAAAAAATTATTCATGAAGTTATATTAGTGTAAAATATATTTTACCCCATATCTCACACTTTTGGAACTGAATTTTGAATATGTATGCATGCATATGTATATTAATATTTATGCCCATTGATGAACCATTGCGACATGAACAATGTGTGACTTTTTTCATCTGAAAGTAAAAGTTTATGCAAGTAAAATTAATATATTTTGTTTGAAAACTTTTCAGTGAGTAAACTAACAATCAATCATGTAATCAAAATAAATGAATCGACTATGTATTAACATTAATATTGCAAAATGCATATAGAAGACTCCAAATACCAGGTGCACATAACAAGCTTTTGCATAGCATGCCATAAAAGAGCACCAGAACAGAAAGCGTTAACCCTCATAATGCATTTGAGTTCATTTTGACCTGGAAGAGATACATAAAAACTTCTAAATCATACATAGTTTTTAATAAGCGAACAAAATTTTTTACAATTATTCTTTAAAAGATATAACCATTCACACACACAAAAAAGCTACACGTTTCACATTCCGGTCATTTTGGACCCAGGTAAGTATGGAGCACCATCGGTGTCAAAAAATTATGTATGAAGTTATATTAGTGTAAAATATATTTTACCCCATATCTCACACTTTTGGAACTGAATTTTGAATATGTATGCATGCATATGTATATTAATATTTATGCCCATTGATGAACCATTGCGACATGAACAATGTGTGACTTTTTTCATCTGAAAGTAAAAGTTTATGCAAGTAAAATTAATATATTTTGTTTGAAAACTTTTCAGTGTAATATTTATTTATTTTAGACTGTTTGAGTAATTATGAGTTATAAATTCAAAATAATTTAATTACATTTCATTCATTCCAATTCACAATACGACTGTTATATATATATATATACACACATACATATACATATACACATACACATAATAATGCTTAGATTAGTCCTTATAAATTTCATACAATTATATATAGGTAAATGCAGTAATAACATGGTAATAACATGGTAACATTCAAAACGGATTTTTTTTTTCACATTCACTTATTAATTAGAAGTTGTTAATCAGATACAATATGGTTTTTGTTGGAAAATACTATGACTATTTTATAAACGATTTATAACGATTCTTCAGGTCCAAACGGAAATATAATGTGAAAATAGCATACAGATTTTGAGTGCATTATGAGGATTAAAGACCAGATTGATATGTTTAAACTTGACCTTTAAACTTAAAAAAAAAAACAGTAAAACAAATAGAAAATTCCACAATACAGTATGTACCGTTAGAAATATTTTCTAAAAATGTATTTTTGGGTCACTGGTGTATATGAATGGGTCAAGGGTTTCTGAATCAATAAATGCAACATTATTTCCTGTGTTACTACAGAAAGCAAGTCATGTGGCTAAGAAGCAAGACATAGGAGAAAGTCTAAAGAGAGCGGTTTGAGTGCCAGCTTTCAGAAACTGTATGACAAGGACAGGTTCTGTGTGTAAGCAGCTGAAAAGAAAAACCATAATAATCCGAGAGCGGCTTCCAGCGGTCAGCAAATAAACTGTCCTGAAGAAACGTTACACAGTATACCCCCTGCAGGCACTCCAAGAATATCCCAGTTCACTAAATGAGTCAGACTGTGTGTGGCTATAGAGAAGCTGAGCATGGAGTGACTCATCTGATGCCATGAGGCCTGACAGATACAGAGAAAAATATAGTGTTTCTGCACCAACCAAGCAGCAGGTGGCGGTAATGCACTTCTGTCATTTTCTTTCCCAACTCCAGTTAACAAAAGCAAAAAGAAGACAAAATTATTATTTTTTTTTTAACAATTGCATCTATCAACTGTACATTCAGAAATGAGTTACATACCATCTACACTGTGTTGTATGTATACAACAGGCCTGTAGTGACTGTACTACATATAAACAAAATAGTTTTGAATGCAGTGTTTTCTTTTGCTAGGGTTTCATGGTTAGAGTTTTGGGACAGCGCACCAAGGATTCAGCAAAAATGTGTGAACAATTGGGGAAAAAACCTGTAAAACTCCACATGACACACAGAGAAAAGCACACAGAAGTTGTATCTGCCTATTGTTTCATACTCAAGATCCACAAATGCATATGTCTTCTGACCTTCTTGCACATAAAGCTGCAATTATGAAAAAATGTACACAATACATTCAATGCAACTTAATATCTCGCAATTACAGCTTTATATCTTGAAAATTTAACTTTACATCTCACATCTTTCTTTCTTTCTTTAAATATTACAACTGTGTATGCATATGCTTACAAACAAACTGATGATCAGTTTACAAGAACAAAGTACATTCTACTAGAAACACTATTTCTACTTAAAATTTCACATTTAATTCAACCTGTTAGTCTTACTAGCAAACGCTAAAAACAGTTTGAAAGTAAATCCTAAGTAAAACATTTTTTTTAGTGTAAGCTAGGTAACTTTGATGCAACACTCAGAATTGCTTGAAATACACAACACATGAAATCCATAGAAATGGCATCTCTCTTCTTCTTAAACCAATACAAAAGCACTACCCAGCTTCTATAAAGCTGCCAGAGTTTTATGTCTTTGATATACAACTGGGTGTAGCAGCTCCTCGTGCATTGACTCATACATCACAGTCACAGCATAGAAACTAAGAAGCTCAAAAGGTCGAAATACTTATAAGCCGAGTTCCCAGCTTTCCGCAGAACACAGGTGTTCATGACTAACCCACCCACCGTCTTATCATTATCATCCACCGTGCAATCTGCCTGTTGTCGTCTCAGTATAAAAATAAAGTCAATCTCAATGTCCAGACGAGTAGAAACAGAGCTGCTATTGAAAGTCTCTGCTGGAGCTCTTATCTTCACTAGCTGATTGAAGTGAATTATTAACTTGTTGTTTAAAGAGAGAAGAAACACACGGTGAATTTGAATGAGAGTACAAGAACATCGTCTGGTATCGTCTTTCATGCCAAGTTTAATTAAAAGCAGGGGTAAATCTGTGGTGTGTAGAATGTTTCATTAATATTCTACATATGAGATGTATAGAATTACTGGGTTACAGTTTATTTCAAAGTCCGCTTTAGACTTTCTATTAACTGTAAGTGATGTCAACTAACTCGTTAGGTTAGGGTTGTTAGTAGAACTAGTCAAACTGAGTGTTACCATCAAAATATATGACAGCAGATAATACGTCTACTAATACTTTAACGGCTGCTAGTTGACATGTAGTTGCAAAGTTACTTATAGGATGTCTAAAGTGGAGCATTGTGTTGTGTTGTGATTAATGCTTTACCACAGATCTAATCGGTGTATAGTTAAAGGGATAGTTCACCCAAAAATGAAAATCCTGTCCTCATTTACTCACTCTATATGTTGTTCCAAACCTGCATGAGTTTCTTTCTAAACACAAAAGAAGATCCTTTGAAAAGTGTTGGTATCCAAACAGTTGACGGTAGCTATTGACCTCTACTGTACTTTTCTATTCAGGATTTGGCCAAAATTCCTAGACACCCTCCCCTTCATGAAAGAAAACATTGTTTGTGACGCAGAGGGTCATCTACATTTATTTGCAGAACTCGCATAGCCTATTATTTAGTGAATAAAAAATGGGAATGCTCTTTATTCACTTAAAAAATGTGACTTGAACTCGGTCCCTGTCACCTAATATTCACATTGTCCCAGTGACTCCTCTCCTCCCTCATACTTGCAAAATCCTTGGCTTCACTTCCAGTCATTCTGGCCAAAACATATTTTAAGAGCTAGTAATGGGTGCCTTATCTTGACTTCCCTTTGTTTGGTAAAATGTAGAAGAAACAATGAAAGTGTTTCTTGCATTTCTTTCGTAGCCTATTATGAAATGGTTTAGGGAGAGGATGGGATCGGTGAGTGGAAAAGTTCAACTGTTACGAAATACCTTCTATTTAAACACTATTTGAGTGTTAATGTAAAATTGAACGTACTATCCTTTATATTTTAAACTTGATTCAGTGTTAATTTTGCAGCTCTCATCTCAACAATTTAGTGTCCTTATCCACCTTTTTCTTGTCGTAGATGGGAGCGGCCATTTGTAAATTCTATGGGTCTGGCTTCCGGTCTCATCTGCTTCCAGCTACTTTTAGCTGTACAAAACAGTTCGTTTTGCTGCTTGATATTGAAAATTGGTGTGTCTTATCATATTATTTTAATGTATTATCTTAATTATGAACACACTGGTTTGTAGTGCAAACATTTTTACCGTTTAACCTAATGCACGTTGTTTTTCTCCTCGTTATTTACCTACAGCGGCTAATGAACCGGATGCCTCACCCATAGGCTTAATTCTGCGTTGAAGAAAAAGGTGGATAGTCGCTGTTACAATACAGGGCTGCGTTCAGGCCCGACAAAATGGTGCAAAACGTGTTTTAAACGGAAACGATGGTGCGTTGAACACTGTTCTGATGACGCAAGAGCTGCAGCTATGGCAGCTGAGAAGACCATTCTTTCTGTTCTTTTTGAAGAATTTTCGGAGCCTGACGAAATCGGTATAAATACATGTTTAATACTGCAAAATACATTATATTACAGAAATAATTAGGAACCACAGTTTCCACAAATCCCTGTTAATGGTGATTCTCATACAGTATAAACACTGGGGAAATGTGCATTTCAACTTTGTGGGTGTTAAATGTTCAATTTTACATTTGCAGTGCACTTAAAAATTCTACTTAGAAAGATACTTAGAAATCAGGACAGACTTCTTCTTTGAGCCTGTATAGGCAAATTAACAAACACAAATAAGATACTGAACGATATTTATTGTGAATAATCGATATAAATAAATAGAAATTAAAATGAATATGTTTCTCTAATATTCTTACATACAGTAGCTAGAAGATATATACTGTTAACTTAAGTAGCCTAAATATTTAAAAGATAAGATTTCATTTGTTTTGACTTAAACTTGAAGAAGTTTATTCAAGTGTGCTATTAGTATACATCTTTTAAACTAAAAAATAGAAAAGTATACTTTCAGTTTACTTATGTACTTCTCAGAAATATACTTAAAATGACATTTAAGTATACTTGACTTATACTTAGAAAAAGTCTAAATATATTTGAGCTATACTTGTGCTCCGAGAATGTTTTCATTGTTATACTGTAGGGCGCGCTAGTACACATCTTCTGTGCAGAATTTCCAAAAACACAAGAGAAGAAGAAACCGAAACAACAGATGCTTCCACATGTATTCTAACACGATCATCAGACATAAAACAGCATCAAAACTGTGCAACGTTATGGAATAAAATGTCGACCAATGAAGAGGTACTAATGACTGTCAAGCTTTGGGGTGTTGATCGACTC